AATGACTTGGTAAGGTGCAAAGTGTAATTTCATGGATTAGCATCAATTTCATATTTTCCTAAAGTAACTAAGATTAAGAATTTATAAAAGCTTTAGTTACTTTATAATTATCATTATACTTTTAATGAGAATTATAGTCTTTGTCCTACCCGTTTGGCTAACGACCCTCCACCAGTCAATGAAGCGGTGGGTGAGAGTGGACACCCATTAAACCACCATTTTATAGGCGATAACCTTATACCCCCCTTTATAGACCGACTTCGTGAATGAGGCCTACTAACGGTAAAACCGACTTGTCTTATACATATATATAAATATTAAACCTATAATATTATAATAGTATAAGGGTTGAATTTTAAACTTTTAAAATTCTAAGGTTTGGAATTAAAGTATTGTAAAGTGACTTTACAAATTCCAAACTTGAGGGCAAATTTTGAAATTGTCAAAACTTTTCAAGTCCATAACATATAAGTTTAATGACATCTTTAATAGAAAAACCTTTCATGTTCCATAACATCCATAACTTGAGGACAAGTTATGGAGGCCATTAAAAACATTTAAAACATTATTTAACTAATACAATAATCAAATAATTCATAGAAGATTCAACTAAACTCATATGAACAAGACAATTCAAATCAAACAAATTTCATGTAATTAGCCTAACCATATAAACTAATACAAAACATGAAACATTGACAATTATCTTTTAAATTGGATTAGCATGATCATTACCACATCAAAAACAGGTTTATATGTTCAAAAACAGTTTAGGGTAATGATCCCAGTCCAATTCCAACCTTAAAACTCGAAAATCTGCACTCAGGAGCACCAACTCGTCGAGTGTATGAAGTAACTCGACGAGTTGGTCTGATTTGTGAGGGGACTCAGCGAGTCCACTGTCCAGACATCAGAAAATCGATTTTTTAAGCATTTGAAAGCAAAGAGCATCAAGTATATTGGAAAACAATCCTAGGCTCTGATACCACTGATGGGTTTTGAGCATTCTAACACTCTTATGGCGTACATGCAACCCTAAATGCTTTGGATCTATGTTTTCTCTAAAGAATCATCCTAACTAGCATACAATGGAGTATCTATACTACAAAAATCTAGTTAGATGACATACCTTTTAGTGTAGTTGAAAACCTTGAAGCTTTAAGAGCCTATCACCAATGATGGGAATGTCTCAAATGGAACCACAAATCACCACCAACAATTAGAGGGCTTGAGAGAATGTTTCTTGCACACAAAATCGGACAAGCTCTTCCAAGGACTCACTAGTGTCGGTTTCATGTGCTAATGGGTTTCTTATATAGTGTGGCTACATTAGGGTTACACCATGCAAACCCTAATGTGCATGACTTTCCACATTCCTCATGCTCCATGGGTTTTAACCTCCATGGAGTATCCATGGGTTACCACATGGGTTTAGCCCAGCATAAGGAATCATGGATCATTAGCCCACTTTATAAGAATGATTGATTCACACAATCAATCCCCATATGTTTAATTAGTCTATTTTGATCACAAAATTAATTCCAAACTAATTCTTGATCAATACTAATTAAATAATATGATTTCATATTAATATATTAGAACTTATAATATATTAATAAATCATAAATAACCTCTTCTCAAAAGTCCATCCTTACAAATTGTTCCGGTGAAGTGCAACCCAAATGGATCATACTACGCTCGGGTCAAGTACATACCAAATATATTTATGGACTTAGACACCTTATCGAACAGTTATGAATTTGAAAAACAAATGTATTTGAGATTTTATGGTTTATTGGAAATGTTTTTGACTATTTAAAAATGAAAAATTTCTTTTGAAAATTTGGGTCGTTACATCTGCCTCACAAAGTCACCATACTGAAAATAGACAAGACAAACCATCAAAATGCACATCAATATATATATATATATATATATATATATCGGGGAATCACAACTCCACAAGCTCCCTAGTTTCATCGCGACCCTCCTTGAATCGAGTACGAATCCTCTGCTTCCAGTAGTACGGGCCCATACTACCTTCCACATCTATCCACACTTTCCTCAAGGATTGCATACAAAGTCACTTTATATCCATATAACTTTCCCTCACAGATAAGGCTCTCAACACTAGATTTCATCCTAGGTTTTCCTAAGGCAAACTCCATACTACTCTCCGCCATCAGTCGCAGAATGAACTCCCGCTAACTCCCTCTAACTAGCCTAAGAATACAATTACATATCTCTAAAACCAAATAATTCTTTAAATGAGAGGTCTCACAATACAACGGTTAGACTCAAACAAGAGCTGCGCAATAGAGTTAAAACCTAACCTTCTAAAATTATTTAGTTTCCATAATATGTAACCTAGCATATTCGCTTACTAGTTAGCTGAAGCTAGTTAGAACTCCTAAAAGCACAAAGCAAGCAACATTCAGACATCAAGTAATCAGAACCAAACATCACCTAACCAGGCCATCATATCACTGACTGATCAGTACTAGCATGCAAGTCTACAAGCTCATACAATAGACATACAAATACATCTCTCCTAGAATTCTATTATGCAAAAACTGAGCAGATCCTTAGCCCTAGCTAGCATGTGATTCACAAATTCATAGATCAAAGCATATCAGATAACATGTATGAGTATTTTGGGAAAACTTACTTGAGCTCGACTGATTGCATGCAACACACCCTTTCTTATTTTAGAAAAAACCATTTTCTTAAAAATATATTCCTTTTTGAAAAGCTTTACCAAATCCTCAATTTGAGTTCTGACACACCTGTGAGTGTGTCCAAATCCCTCAAACCAAGACTCTGATACTAACTTATAAAATCTCAAAAATATGATCTCAAAAATTTCATTTTTAATTTAAATAAAACAGTATTCCAAAACATTATCCATACAACCCAAATGAAAATAAGTGCATCAAACATCATATCAATCAGAGTAATATCCCAAAAGCGGAAACCATGTGGTGTGTGCAATGCCGTCATCCCAAGCTCTTCCCCTTGGAACTAGAAGTACCTGAAACATAAACTGAAAACCGTAAGCACAAAGCTCAGTGAGTTCCCCAAGATACCGTATACCAAACATAAAACACATAATGGGCCCCGCCCAAAGAGTATAACGGGCCCCACCCAATGAGTATAACGGGCCCCACCCTAATTCGCATAACGGGCCCTACCCAATGAGTATAACGGCCCCGTCCTAACTCGTATAATGGGCCCCACCCTAACTCGCATAACGGACCACTCCCACATACAATTCATACTACATAACAATTAATAGCATATAGGATAACCATCGGCCCCGCCCAGTAAGCATATAAGTATATACACATACTAGTGTCACACATACGATGAGCATTCTAACATATCAGATCATAGGTCGGTATTGGTACCTTCGACCCACTATACATGGTGAGGAAACTCACCTCGACTGTTGGATCTCACAGAAAAATCTCTGGTTGCTGGTCCGACAAATCCCCGAACTATCAATATAAAATAACACCCAGTTAACATTTGGGTCTCAAACCATGACCAACAATCTATACTTGGGTAAAAAGACCATTTTATTAACGCTTAAATAAATAAGGGCCTTTTTGATAACTTGCTGACTGGGTTCGGTCATCACTTTTTTGTTGACTCGGTCCGGTAAGCTTGTTTGATACAAAGTAAATTTGTCTGACCCGATAAGAAGCTAGTGACCCACCTCCTAACTTGGTCCACTACAAAAAAGAAGCTGACTCGGTCCTTTTTCTTGATTTCCCTCGTTTACCCTTATCCCAAAACACGTCCGCTCTTCACTTCTTTCTTCCCCGTCGCCAAGTTGATAGATGAACGCAAGCTACAACTCAATCGATTCTTCCTCAAACATCGGCCACCCCTTCTCCTGCTCCAACAATGACTTTTTTTCTCTGAAATCAAATGTATGTTTAGTGAAATTAGATATATGTTTCGTAAAATTATGTCTGATCAATCCATTGCTTGTTGTTTTCTTTTGATTCTATCAATTTGAAACTGCGATGGCTATACTTTTTCACACAAAATCGATTTCTTTTCAATTGCAGGATTGCTGACTCCAGTTGATGCTTTTGTTGGATTAGAAGTGCTTGATTGTTGCCTTTTGGAAAAGTACCTCCATCCGGCCATAAAACCCATGGTTTAGTCGAAGAATCGGTTTCAGGTGCAATGTAGACCGGAGAGTACTCATTGGTAGCTTCATCTTCAACCGACCATGTATTAGGAACATGTGAGTTTCTTGATCTCTTTGTTTTCAGCAATGCATAAAAAACGGGGCCAATTTTGATTGTTTTTACGTTTGAATTACATGCTAATTTTGATTGTTTTTGTCCCAGATGTTTGTTCATCTCAACTTGATCGGGTTCTATTTTAATGGCTCACAACGTGTTGGAATCCGATCTTTACGATCATTGTTGTTTATTTTGTTATTTAGGTTGTTTCAAAGAAATTTGTGAAAAAAGCTATTAAAAATACAATGCACTTTTTTTTCTTTTTTATACATGCACTACATGGCTATGTATTTTAGTATCTTGGTTAGTTTCTTTTAAAACATACACTACCTGACAACAGGGCCGGTCCAGACGGTGGGCAACACGGACGGTCACCGCCCAGGGCCCACGACTCCAGGGGGCCCAAAATTTATGGGCTATGTAGTTTATATATAAAAAAGTATTACTAAATGATTTTTAGGGCTTAAAGTTGGTTGAAACTTAAATTAGCTCAAACATAAACAACTTAGTTTGCTTGTTAGTGCTATATTAAAGAGTAAATGATATATTTTTTTTGATCTTTATTATATTTGCGAGGGGCCTTTTTTTTTCTTTTTTCCCCTGGCCCATATATGTTTAGACTGACAATGTGTTCTTTTTTCATGCCACTAAAAAAAGACAAAAAAGGTAAAAATGTTATTTCCATAATCTGGTTTTAGTCGAATCTAATTCAGTCGCAGCTTACTAGCTTATTACTAGTCAGTAAACAGCCAAGTCCTATACAAATTTCTTTTGTTTAAAAGTCGAAGAAGAAAAAACGTCAATGCCTGTAAACGGAAAGGCAGCGATTTGACGTACGCCAGCAGCGTTGGTCAGAGTGTGCTGGACCGTCGGCGACAGCAGCGTTGGTCTGAGAAGTTCTGATATTGTAGAGTTCACGGAGAGCAAAATTCAACCGGATCTTACCATTGGGGTGACCAGAGGGACGGCGGAGCTGGAAAGTTCCGATGATCGTGGAGTCTTCGAGGTTTCAAGAGGGTTTTGAGTGAAAGATTTCTAGAGTAAGGATGGCGGCGGACGGAGAGGACAAGAGTCGCAACAGGTTGGAGGGTTTGGGTATGCCTGAGATGGAGAAGGTCTGAGCTTGGTCGTAGATCTCTGGCGGTATCTAGGGTTATAGTGGATTCGGACGAGATTCAGGCAGGGGAGGTCGACGTTTTCTGGAACAGAGGCACGGGTGACGATCTGGAACAGAGCAAGATTCTGGCTAGGGTTCCCGCAAAACGAGATTCCGGCCGGCGATTGCCGCTGCAGTTCCGGTATCGTGACTAGGGCTCTGATATTTGGTATGGAATCGTGATTTGTATTATGAATGATGTACATGAATGGCGAATGCTAAACTATGAAAGGCTAATTACATGGAAAATTTCTGTACAAATGGTATCATGGAGAAATAGAGACGGAAATAGGCTGACGTTATATGTATATATCCCTTGAACATATCGTCTTCCGTTCTACATCTTTTCCTGTGGTTTTAACTTGATAAATACAAACATCATGTCGTCTTCATCGACTTACAATCAGTTTGCTCACTTACAAATCCCACTTGAAGAGATATTATCCGCCACCAACAACTTTTCTGATGAAAATCTCATCAGACGAGGTGGATTTGGATCGGCTTATAGAGGACAACTCTTGCGATCTAGTCAATGGATCGAGATTGTTGCACGGAGGTTAGATCAGGCGAAAAAGCAAGGAAACAAAGAGTTTTGGATGGAGGTATCGATGCTTTCTACACTCAATCATGACAATCTGGTGTCTATCATTGGGTATTGTGATGAGAAGGGCGAGAAGATCATCATAAACAAGCATGAGACCCATGGAAGTCTCGACAAATATCTACGAGACCCGGCCCTCACATGGATGCGAAGATTGGAGATATGTGTTGGCGTTGCTTGTGCATTGAAGTACATCCATTACGATGAGGGACGCGATTATAGCGTCATACATCGTAATATCAAGAGCTCCAAGATTTTACTTGATGACAACTGGAAACCCAAGCTATATGGTTTTGAACTTTCCATGAAAAATACAAAAGCTCGAAGACATGGAGTTCTCTTTGATCCTGTTGGTGGCACGATAGGGTATATAGACCCAAGATGTGAGAAGCTTGGGGGTGTAACTCACAAGTCAGACGTGTACTCGTTTGGAGTTGTATTATTTGAAGTCCTCTGTGGGAGGAGGGCATACATTCCTAAGATGTGTTCAGATCAGTTGTCCCAACAACATCCCACAGAGGATTTCGTGGGAAGTTTGCATGAGATCCTTAACCATGAGGGTCGATCACCTCAATTGGCCAAACAGCATTCCAGTGAGAGAAAACTAGATGAGATGGTAGATCCCCATATAAACGAACAAAAGGATCCTCCATCATTCAACATCTTATCAACAATAACAGCATTCAGTGGCTTATCAAATGAAATGCAGGTGCTGTCGTCAACAACAACAGTTAACAGCTGTTGTACGAAGAAACAAGTTAAACAATCTCCTGGACTAAATCCCCTAGGCATGTCCATGTTTACCATTTCTCCATTTGCGATGTTGGACTATGAAAAGAGATTTGGGCACTTGCATATTCCAAAAGACGAATTATTAGCTCCACTGGCCAGATTCCACTATGATGAAAGAAAACTAGATGATATGATTGATCCAGATCTACGGAAACAAATGGACCCACAATCATTCCACCTTTTCTCGGAAATAGCATATTGCTGCATAAAGGAGCAACGATCAACACGCCCAGATATACATCAAATTATCATAAGACTTGAGAAAGCCTTGGATTTTCAACGGAAACACGATGAAACTGTAAGACCAACTTTTTTCTTTCCCTTTACCCCTTATATTTTGTTTTCTTTCATCTGTTTATTATATTAAGTTACATGCTAATCTTGTTATTTCCCATTGAATTCATTGCAGTTGAATCTAGAGGAACACACGGAAGTTGAAGATACGTCGGCCAATCACTTGAAGGTAATTAATTTCTTTCGCTTTGAGGTTATTTTCTACACCATTTTAAAGGCAGATAAGAAAGTACCAACACACACGTTTTGTTAAAACTTCATTCTCATTCTTACTAGCCTAGATAGGCTGCAACACACCCTTTTTAATATAAGTCCAATGCTGCAGTTGAAAAAATTCAGGCACTTGGAGATCCCACTCACTGATATAGAGAAGGCCACCAAGAATTTTGACAAAGCATACCTCATTGGGTCAGGCGCATATGGTGAGGTGTACAAAGCAGAACTTGACCATTTTGATAGCAAAAAGTTCTTTTCATTAGAAGAGAAGAATAAAGGTAAATTTCCCAAGAAACGCAGCACTGTAGCTATAAAACACATAATGATTAGAGAAGACAAGCAAGGAGAAGAAGGTTTCCTTGCAGAAGTTGAAATGCTTGCTAGTTGTAAGCATCCCAACATAGTGTCTCTTCTTGGCTTTTGTGAGGAAGGTGGTCAAATGATACTTGTCTATGAGCATGCTTCTAATGGAAGCCTTGATGATTATCTAGGAAGCACCGCTAACTTGACTAATCTTAGTTGGGTGCAACGTATAAAGATCTGCATTGATATTGCATGTGGATTGAATTACCTTCACACCAAGATAGAGGACGACCGAAGGATAATACACCGTGACATAAAAAGCTATAACATTTTGTTAGGTGATAATTTGGAAGCGAAGATTGCTGATTTTGGACTCTCTAGATTCCGCCCTGAGAATCAAGAGTTGAACAAGACTCTATATACACAGACTCTTGCGGGCACAGAACTGTATTCGGATCCAGAATACATTAAAACGGGTAAGTTGAAAAATGAATCAGATATCTACTCTTTTGGAGTTGTATTATTTGAGATGTTGTCTGGGAGGTTTGCCAATGATAAAATGTACACCGAGGAAAATAGCAATGGGATTGTACATGCTGCACGGCGACGCTTCATTGAGGGAACAATAAGGGAAATGGTAGATCCTAGGTTAGTGGAAGAAACTCATGAAGGCCTTTTCACTCGAAATAGAGGACCTCACAAAGATTCCTTGGATGCATTTTCAAAAATTGCGTATCAATGTGTGGCAGAATCTCAAGCTGGGCGCCCGACAGCGGTAGCCGTAATCAAGAAACTTGAGGAAGCGTTATCTTTTCTAGTAAGCCAATATTTATGACGATAACTTTTTTAGTTATAATTTTATAACAATGCTGGATTTATGATTTATGATTTATAGATTATATAACAGACACTTTAGTTTTATATTTACCATGTTACACATTTCTTTTATAACTCATAATTTCAAACAAGGGTATCTATTAGTTTGTCAAATTATAGATCTATTGTCAGAAAAGATTATAATAAAATACATGTCAAGCAAGCTGTTTGAAAATTTCAATAATATTTAGTGGATTCTTTTTAAGCTGCATGTTGTTAAAAGATTGAGAAACTGTCATACTCTTTTTGTCTCGTTTAATCCTATAATAAATATTTTGTATAAGCCCGCGTGTACAGATATGCATAACAATACAGTGCTGACGTGTGTGTGTGTGTGTATCTAATCTAAAAGAATACGAATTGTTGTGGCATTTGGTTGGCTACTTGTAGTGAAACATTGTAATTTTGATGTTGAGTATTACTATATCTATATATGAATATATTTTAGTTTCTTTAATTTCAAAATATGTTTCATTTTTTAACATGATTATACGGTTTCCATTTTGTTTTAAAAAAGTTGGCATGAACTTGCTGGGGACTTGTAGTACAACTGAAATTTAGATTTGAGTTTCAGCGTTCTTAGTTACCAAGTTAATTCGAGTGTTTAATAATTCATAGGAAAACTAGTTATGAAGTTAAAATTTGAAATCAATTGTTTAATTATCCACAGGTAAATCCAAAGGACCATCTTCAATTTTCACTTGAGGATATAGAATCGGCCACTCAAAACTTCAGTGATAACAATCTTATTGGAAAAGGAGGATTTGGGCATGTATACAGAGGAGAAATTACACATGCTAATGGATGTAATACCATTGCTGCAAAGCGGGTGCACGGGATGTATGGTCAGGGAGAACCTGAATTTTTAATGGAGCTTGAGATTCTTACCGAGTATAAACACGAGAACATCATCGGTCTTGTAGGTTATTGCACTGAAATGGATGAAAGAATCATTGTTTATGAGTACGCGTCTAGAGGAAGTCTCGATACACACTTGAACGACTACGATCTTACGTGGAGGAAACGGCTTGAGATATGCATTGATATTGCACGTGGTTTGGATTTCCTTCATGGAGGTAGTCTAACACAAGATGTGGTGATCCATAGAGACATTAAAAGCGCCAACATTCTACTAACTGATGATTGGAAAGCAAAAATCTTTGATTTTGGCCTTTCCTTAATAAGTCCAACAAATAAAGATATGGACTTTGTCATTGACAATCCTATAGGCACATTCGGCTATGCTGACCCACTGTATGTGGAATTGGGTTTCTTAACGAAAGAATCTGATATATACACGTTCGGTGTGGTTTTAGTTGAGATCTTGTTTGGGAGATTGATTATTGAAAAGAACACTGGCGGTCAAACCCTAACCCCTTTGTTTAAACGCCACTATGAAGAAGGAAAACTTGATGAGATGGTGTTTAAAGGTATAAAGGAACAAGCTGTGCCAGAATCTTTGACTACATTTCAAGCAATTGCCTACCAGTGCTTACATCGTAAAAGAGAAGAACGACCAACAACAGGTCAGGTCCTAGTGCAACTTAAAAAGGCATTGGAATTCCAAGTAAGTTTTCATACATTAAATAATATCTCTTTATTTTAATTAACATATGTCACATATGCAAAAAGAAGTTACCTAGACATAACTAAAGGAAAAGTTTGTGCGATCTTTGAAAATTTTAAATAATGGTTTTTGTGATAATTATGAAAGAAAAAGTTCTTTTAAATAAATAAGGAGGATAATATCTTTCTAAAACCGGATTTTGTTAAACTTATTTTTGAAAGTAAAATGCAAATAATCAAGTGTGCTGTGCATCAATTAAAACGTGGTTTTTATTGTTTAACTTACACACAGGAGGATTGTGAAATATGGGAGCCCAAATTGCCTAATGACTATAAAGAAATAATCTCTGAGACCTACTCTACTGAAAAGAGGAAAGACCTCTACCACATGTTCTCCAAAGGAATCCTTGTTCAAGAAGCCAAAGTGGTAGTTAGCTCCTTCTCATATATCATAGTCATCTTGTGTTTTCTATATTTCTTGCATCTTCTGTTATCCAAAATTTATAAAAAAAAAAAAAACTGATAGACCTTTTCAATTAACTGCTGGTTTCCATAATTTCACTTATGTTTTTCACTTGAACATATCTTGAACTTCATAAACTCCTCCAACTTTAGAACTTGAGTACTCTAGCTCATTATTGACCACAACAGGTTGTAATGCGAAACTAAAAATCTGCACTCTTACAAAACTCAGTTTTTATAGAATTGTGTTATTTATCAACTCTTTTGGTCTAAGTGAATCTATTTTGTTTACATCATTATCTTGAGATGTAAAACAAGCATCCTGAGGGGTAGTCCTAAACCATACATGCATTTACACATAACAAAAATTGGGTTTAATTTGGTTGTTTTGTATATCAGTTGTTTTCACTAGGTGGTAATGGAGAAAGAAATGTAATGATATCAGCAAAAAGATTTTCATACATAAACCATTGTCTGCATAAATGGCGATTTGTTCCGGAATCAAGGTCCCACTCTTTTCTCTGTCTATGTGTTTTTATATGTGAATGGAAACATGCATCTTTGTATTTGGGATTCTAGATAACGAACTATGTTTCTACAATGCCTTTAAGTAGCATTTTCACTTGTTACCAAGAGGCCTTTGGCAAAATGCTAGCAGACATGGATGAAAGTACAAAAATTGTTTAATAAAAGGGAATAACATTAAAAAGTAACAAAGTTTGACAAAATATTTCATTAGGTACCTCAAAAGTTGATGTTTCACCACTAAAATTTTCATTTTGTTCCATTCATACGAAATCATGTAATCTGTTACAACTTACAAGTTTGTGTTACATGTTGGCTGATGACTCTTGGCAACATATTTGGAATAAGTAAGTTTTTTTCTTTTTCAGTTACATACCTTAAACCTTTTTTAAAAGTTCAACCCCACTAGTGTCATATCATATATAATTTTGGTGGAATGAGTGACCATCATTACCATCGAAATCTTGATCCAAGATTTTTTTTTTTAAAAGAGTTATCCATCTTCCCATTAGGGCAACCATGGCTTATCAATTCTTGGTTGTTCATTCCAGACTTCTAGTTTATAATCATACCACAATAACTAGTAGATTGTCTAACCTGACAATTCACAAATCATCCGCTGCGGTGTTTGACGACTTAAATATCAAAACCACATATTGATAAGAAAATAGAGAAATTGTATAGTTCAATGTGGGGTTTGGCAGCTTCAATAATTTGAATGTTTGACGATAGAATAAAAAGTAATTAGATTTTTAAACTCATGTACCAAAATTCGGAATTATTCATTTATTTTGGGCGGAAAAAAGTATTAAATTCAAAAGTAAATCAAAGTGTGTTTGCAGGGGAATAGAGTTTAAATTTTGTATCCACTTCTACATGTGCAGGTTTGAAGTAGTAGCAGAGATGTTAGATATTTCAAATCTAAAGATCAAAATCAAGACAAGAACTCAACTTTTATCTCCAGATGTCATTTATGGGGTTTATTTAGTCTTCAAGTTTTGTGACCCAAGAAAAGTTTCAAGTAAACCTTTGTATGTGAACCTCAAGTATAAAAATGGGAGAAAAACCTCACATGCATATTTTGCAAAATGGAGAGACAACGATTGGATGATGATTGAGCTGTGCAGATTCTTGAATGACAAGGAAAATATCGATTTTAAGTTTGTATTAGAGAGCCTTTCACGATACCACTGTCAAGATAGTACCATTTATGCTGAAGGCATTGAATTTCGACCCATTGAAAATGCAAGTTTGAAATTACTCTTTGGTTCCCATATATTCTAGATTCTTTGTTTATATATTTTGGAACAGAGAAGGATTCATGGACAACATTATCACATTCTTTTTTACAATCTTTATACAGGTGAAAAATGAAGAAATCAATGAGATAAAGGAAGTCCGACAAGTATTGAAATCAGACTCAAACATGGATCGCATCATGCAACAACTGCCAATGAACCCTGAAGAAATATATAAGGGATCCGAAAATGGAGACAATGGTGAAAAGGTAATTTTTTTTACTACTAACAAAAGTTATCTATAGGACGAAAATCTCCTTGTGGTTTTGTGATAAATTCTGTCTGAACCTATGATGAACAGTTGTTTTTGCTCAACGAAGTGAACGGAAAGAAACATCTTATGCTTTCAGCAAAGGCGGCTGTTTACAAATATTCTGATGTTAAGCTTTTCAAAACAAAACCATCAACTCAAACCAGGTTTGCTATTGGAACTAATTATAACCATGAAAGATTTCCTTGTATATTCCCCATGTATCTGAAACTTTCTCAAATTTAAGCAGATTTCATAACTTCTTGTGTATTGAATCGTACAATACCCCCAAAAAAGAAAAAAGCTTCATCTAATAAGTATGCAATCACATGATATATGTATGTACATGCAGATTTGCAGAGGTGATTGAGCTTCTACCACAACAAGTATTTTGTATCAATCGCACCATTAAAAGTGAAATGTTATCACGAGATACAGAGTATGCATGTCACCTTGTCTTCAAGCTTTCAGAGAAATGCCATGGGCTGCATTGTCCTGTGAAAGTACGGAATCTACTCCATAGGAACAACAAAGAGGTTGGAATTGTTTATTTTAGATCCCCAGCCCCATGGAATTTACATGATACCAATCAAGCTCCAGAACAGAGAGCAGATGGATGGATGGAGGTTAAGATCTGGAAATTCAACTTAAATCACGAACTCACAAAAAATGATTGTTTTCGTGTGAATTTGAAGTTAATTAGTTATGAAGGAACTTTGTCTGGCCTTATTGTATGTGGCCTTGAGTTTCGGCCAATGTATTAGAGTGTATATGTGTGAAGTTGTTTGTTAAATCAGTTGTATATATAGTTTTTGTAAAATTAAATTAGTCATTGTTAATTCAATTAACAAGTTAAGTATTGATTTCTTAATAAGAAACTCTTGATTATTATTGCAGTGAGATTTTAGTATGTAGTTTTGCATTGGAGTTGTTAAAATTCACCAATTGAACTCTACTGTTGAGAAGAAAGTGACTAAGGTGAATTGCAAAATGGACATACAAAAAGTTTTCCAAGTTGTTGAAGATAATAATCAAATTTCAATCTTGTATTAGAAATAAGTAGAAATTAATCGTTGTTGTATAGTCTGTTATTGTAGGGACTTAAAAGCGAGAAGAAGAAGAAAAAAAAAAAGATTGTTGCTTTTGTGAAATGGAAGTACCGAAAGTGGAAAGAAGTTGGAAGGGTGAGGAAATAAACTAAGGGTTATACATCGTTTCATAATTTTATTAAATAGATCTTTTATCTGAGCATTCAAAAACATATAACATTTTTTTTAATATATTCATTGACCTTTTGGTGGTATATTACTATATTTTTCTAAATTTTGGCAATACGCGTTTTCCATAGGAAAGAGGTAAGAAGCAACGTCTTACGTCATCATATGGGTCGTCATAATACGTAGATTTGTAATTTTGTATGTATTCCTCTCCTCCTATAATAAGTAGCCCTCTTTGGAACCACAATCGGCAATTCAACATCTCTTCCTCCGATGTCTCGAGCACCATCGCGTTCAGGGGTTAGGAAGCTTGTGCCTTCTCAGGTAGAAGACGGCCAAAACCGTGGTGGTTCCGATAATATCAACGACAAACCACTGTCGTTTCAACATGTGGCTCCAAGACCTCCGTCTTTGATCCAAAACCTCGAAATACAAGATCTCGCTGCTAACCCTCCTTCCCATAATGCTGTCAATCCTCATCAATCTACTTCAGCTGCTGAACATCTGAAAGTTCTTGATGGAACCACTACTAAGGCGCCGCCGTCCGCCGGAGGTTTGATTCATGGTAACAGAAATTAGATTACTGTAACTTCTTGATCAGAAATTCATGTTGTAATCTTGATTGAAGCTGTTCTAGTGTGTGTTTCGTTGATGTATCTTTCCCATATGTCGTGTTTCTCCGAAGTTTCTAAAGCTTCGTTTCCTTTTCTCCTAATCTCGTCAAACATAGAGATAGAGAGAAAGAGCATAAGCAAATTCAGTTAGTAATTAGTAAGGAAGTATAAGAATTCAGTATATTTAAGTGTGTTTAAATGGGATGAAGTTTCAAAGAACCACACACAGTTGATTTTTCCACAAAGTCAAACTACGTGAAAGATTCTTGTACAGATCTGAACGTAATGATACACTGTATGAATTTATTAAAGTTGTAACATGCCTTGATTAGGGTTAAAATCATCAAACGAAAAATGGTTGAATTTTGAGCCAAACCTAGAGTTACATCCGATCTAAATCTAACCATGCTTCGTAAATCGTATATGATGCTTATGGAAGTCAGTGAGCAACGTTTTGATTTGAGGATAAAAAAGTCAAAATAATTGTGGAATGTCTGAGTTTGACTAAAAGTCAAAAACTTCATGGTGTTCATCGTACTGACTACATATTAATTACGAGGGTAATGAATTTTGGAAGTATAAAACTACTTTTTGAAGGTTTGAACATCAGGAAATATTGATAGATTAATCAAATGCCTTTAACTTGCAAAATAAATTTACTGGGATTAAATTACACAAATTGTCCAAGTAGTTTATCACTTAAAGTTTTATGGTCTACGCGTCTACGGCTCGTGCAATTAAACACCCCCATGTGCTTATTTTATTTTATCCATATAATTTTATATTCTTATGTAATTTGGTACAATTTTTTTTTTTTTTTTTTTTTTTTTTAAGACAAATACAAATATATACTAAACTACTCCTAAATTATTCTACCTATGTTCACAATGGGACTCGAACCCTCGATCTCAAGGAGAGAAAGCAACACCGGATACCACTGGGCTAGAAGCCCTTTAGTATTTGGTACAATGGTACCTACCCTTAGTCTTCCGATCTTCTCCACTAATTAAAATGATCATTTTATCCATATAATTTTATATTCTTATACAATTTTGTACCTACCCTTACTCTTCTCCATTAATTAAAAACGATCATTTTATCCATATAATTTATACTCTTATGGAATACGTTGCTACCCTCACTCTTCTCCGTTAAGTGAATAGTTTCCTTGAGACTATCAAATCAACCCATAAAATCATTAAGCATTTGTATCCAATATTTATTTGTGTGTATTTGTATGTGAAAAAACCATTAAGTGTTAACTTGTTTGATCAGCAAATAGTTTCCTTTTGGTGATTTGTTTCCCTTTGGTGACAGTGAATATGTTTTTTTTTTCAGTGATAAGTTTTCTTTTGGTGAATAATTTATTTTAGAAGTATTTCATATTACAAAGAACTTAAACCGTATCAGAAAAATAATTTATCTTCGTTTGTTTCAATTTACAGTTTTTTTGTTTTCGGAAAATAGTTTGTTTTAAGTTATTATACACCTCATTGTAACCGTTATTTGGAACCGAAGAAAAATGTGTTGAAATAACCCTTGAAATGAGTTGTTATAACCAAGTGGAATTTATACCAAACTCAATAGGAGCCATAAGTGGAATTTACACAAATAAGACAAGTAACGTCGCAAACCCTTTATATTTCATTTCGGACGAATAACGTTTCAATAGGAAGCAATGAAAATATGAGCACAAACAATGCAACATCAATTAGTATTTTTTTGGTGGACGGTGAATACTACAAGTGGTTTAGTTTTAAATGGATGGTGAATAGTTTCATTTCCACGATTAGTTTCTATCCGGTAGTGGGCGATCGATTAAATAGTTTCCCTTATGAAAATAGTTTATTTTCGGAAACATGTCATTAAAAATGGCAATGAAAGAACATTGTTACAAAAAAAATATGCATTTTGTATTAGTTTCTTGGCCAATTCAATTGGACGGTTTTGTATTTATGGGATTTCATTTAAGTTAGTATGGTACTATTGGTCATGTATACAAAAGCAATGATTAGTTTCTAAAAGTATATCATAAATACATTAAGGATTATTTATTTTCTTCCGATAGATTTCATATGGTTATGTAGGTGCTGTTTGTTTTTTAAGATGTAAAAAGTCTGCAGTCTACGGACCATATCTGCAGACATCTGCAGAAGAAGAGGTGGAACAAATGTCTGCAGTCTGCAAGAAAAAGACTATTTGTTTTTTAAAGTCTGCAGACTGCTAAAATAAAATAAAGTTTAAATAAATAGATTTCTTAGACTTAGAAGTTTTTCAAATTTTTATTCTAGTTCATTTAATCTATAATCATATAGTTAGATTTTAATATTAAAAAATCGCTTTCAAATCTATTGAATAAAAATATATCATTGTCTTTGCAAGATAAACAAAAATAATATCGTTAAAAAAATATCTTACATGAAACACATCTCCTTTTATTCCAAATGCTTTAAATTGATATGGAATCATATGGAATGACATCAATACAAATATATACACATTACACATAAATTTTCCAATCATAACCATTCATAACCTGAGGTGAACTCTTGAACATGAAAGTCACACACACCAACTATTGCCACCATTGACAGCATTGTCATCTTAATCAAATTTCCATCTTTCTCAACATAATTGGTGTCGTTTACCTGCAAAAGTTGTAAATTTGAGTCTCCATTATGTTAAATTGAACTATAAAAAATAAAACTATGTCTTCCAAGATGCAATGTCCCTATTAGACATTTTATCAAACACTTGGTGGGCAATGTTTATGTGATTTTAGAAAACCAAAATGATTTCAGCACAAAAAAAAAAAAATCCAAAACAAGAACCTAATCTGATTTCATAACCTAATCTGATTGTAGAAGCCATTTACCCAAACCTGACATCAACAATGTTATGGGGTTCCAGCAAGATACATCAAAAATATGTTGACTTTCAGCAACATTCAATAAGAAATTGAAGTAAGAAAGACTAATTTCAGCAATGTTTTCGGTTTTCCACCAAGATCCAAAAGCTAATAGAGAGTTTTCCAGCAAGAATAACAATCAATTTCATATTAGAACAAGAAAAAAAAATCAGAAACAATGGAGCAAACCTGTTTTCGTTTTCAAAGGAAAATCTAGTGCTACTTCGAAGTGCGTCTGGTGGTGGCGGTTCTGGTCTGGAAAGCGGCGGCACGAGGAGGAGACCCGAGGTTGAAGAAGACCGGTGGAGGGAGGCGTTGGTAGATGTTGGAGGCGCTGAGAGAAAAGAAAAAAAAAGCGTGTGTTTTTTGTTTAGTTTTAAAAGACTACCTTAGAAGACATTGGTCAATGTCTGTGTCAAGAAGACCAGGTGCAGACTTGACTTCCAAAAAACAAACTGTCTATGAGGGTCTATGTCTAAGCGGCGTAGTGTGCAGACTTCCAAAAAACAAACTGTTTTTGAGGGTCTATGTCTGCGCGGCATAGTCTGCAGACTTCCAAAAAACAAACTGTCTTTGAGGGTTTATGTCTGCACGGCGTGGTCTGCGTGGCGCAGACAGAAGTGGTCACACAGATCTGCAGGAAAAAAACAAACACTACCTTAGAATATGACTTTAACAACTTTTATGTTATAACTTGACAACTTCATCTTTTTTTACATATTTATTTGTACATTTTTTTAAAATGATGGCTTGCTATTGAGTGTCATGTTAAGTAAATAAGTTTAAAAATATAATTGAGTTTTAGTTTAGTCTTGAAAGTGAAAGAAGTTTAAAAAACAAAAGGTTATTTACCATTTATTCATTATGATAAACATGTATGAACGAAAACATGTCAAAAAGCAACAACGAATACAATTTATGCTTTTGGAATCCATTTACCATGGATATGTTTGCACTTTTATACACACGCAAATTGTGTGCAGTGTGCATTGGTCCAAAAGTACACTGATCGGGATTTAAAGAAAAAAAATACAATTTTAGAATTAAAAAAAAACAGCCAATTCAAAATTTTATAAAATAATTGCATGTAGCATTTACAAGCTGTTTGGTCATTCTAGCATTGTTTATACATAAGGCCTTGAAAGTTTGTAATGTTATATCCTACCACTTTTGAAGTATATTGCTTAAAAAGGATGTATTGTAAGAAAATGAAAATATGAAAACAAACAGGGAATACATAAGCGACATTCACAAGGAATCCCAATGAATCAGATGAGTTGAGTCATGAACAGTCGAATAATGCAATAAGTAAATTAATGTAGCAGATCTCAATAGACATGTATAAGCACCAGAGTTCATATATTCCAAGACTTGAGTTGACTTTATATTAGCTTGAACATTCTCTTTTGTTTACACTCCACCTCCATTACCTATAAATAGAGATTCTTACTGCACAATAGTCATAAGAGCCGAAGAAATGAGTCAAATGCTATTAGTCCAACATACACTTTTGACGCCCAATATAACATATCCCATATCAAACATGAATGCCCAAAAATACTCTTTATTATTAATGAAAAACCCAGACTATTTGTGATTATTTTTCTAAAATAGATGAAGCTAGAAAAAAAAAACCTAAACTATTACCTGAATTTTTAACTAACAATGGATTAAAGAATCATTTTAGGAACACTTTAGAACGAATACCCACATAATCATTTCAGAATCTCATAGATTGTGGGAAATAAAAAATCATAGTTCAAGACTTTTGAACTCCTTTTATCAACATATAATAAAAAAAACACTAAAAAAAATTAGAAAATATGGAATCCAAAATAAAAGAAAAAAGAAACTCTACCAGTTTTTTAAGCTTGCCATGTATGGTCGAAGTTCCTTTCTCCTCATCGACTTAGACTGCTCCATGACTGAAGGCTGGTGGAGGAGCAGGATATAGAGGCGAAGTGGATTCAGATCTTCCTTTAATGACAACACAGAAATAAAGGCTTAAAATTTCTTAACAAACAATTTAAAATACTATAACTAAACTCATTTTCTAA